CAAACAAAAAGAAGTTCAAAGGTAGTTGTCACAACTATGGAAAGTCTGGACATAAGGCCGTGGACCGTCGTGCACTAAAGAATGATGTACAAAAGAAGAAGAAGAAGAATTAAGCTAACATGGTTGAAAATATTGACAAAAAAGAGGACTTGTGTGCCATGTTGTCTGAATGCAACTTGGTAGGAAATCCTAAAGAATGGTGGATTGATTTTGGAGCCACTCGCCATGTTTGTGCTAGCAAGGAGTTATTTTCTTCTTATGCCCCCGCAGGACCGACGAGACAATTTTCATGGGAATTTCGTCTACAGCCAAAATTGAAGGAGTTGGCAAGATTGCGTTGAAGATGACGTCGGGAAAAATTGTGACTCTAAACCAAGTTCTCCATGTTCCAGAAATTCGCAAGAATCTTGTGTCTACCTCACTTCTTGTCAAGAATGGATTCAAATGTATTTTTATTTCTAATAGTGTTGTACTAAGTAAGAATGATGTGTATGTAGGAAAAGGTTACCTGAATGAGGGTCTTTTTAAGCTAAATGTAATAGCAGTTCCTATCAATAAAGTTAATGCTTCTTCTTACTTACTTGAGTCAAACACTTTATGGCATGCACGCCTAGGTCACATCAACTTCAAAACATTGCAAAAAATTATAAATTTAGAAGTATTGCCAAAATTTGATTGCATTAATTCCAAATGTCAAATATGTGTGGAATCAAAGTATGCTAAGCATCCTTATAAGTCCGTTGAAAGGAATTCAAGCCCTTTAGACTTAATTCACACAGATATTTGCGACATGAAGTCAATACCATCTCACGGTGGGAAAAAGTATTTTATTACTATTATTGACGATAGTACGAGATATTGCTATGTTTATTTGCTTAATAGTAAAGATGAAGCAATTGATGCTTTCAAGCAATACAAGATTGAAGTTGAAACACAACTAAACAAAAAGATCAAAATGATAAGAAGTGATAGGGGGTGGCGAATATGAATCTCCTTTTGAAGAAATATGTTTGGAAAATGGCATTATTTACCAAACAACTGCCCCTTACTCTCCAGAATCTAATGAAATTGCGGAGAGAAAGAACCGAACGTTGAAAGAAATGATAAATGCGTTGTTAATAAGTTTTGGTTTACCACATAACTTGTGGGGGAAGCTATACTTACAGCTAACCGAATAATCAACCATATACCTCATAGTAAAACACAGTCCATTCCTTATGAAAAATGGAAAGGAAGGAAGCCCAGCTTGAAATACTTCAAAGTGTGAGAGTGTTTAGCTAAGGTACAAGTTCCTAAACCTAAAAGGGTTATGATAGGTCCAAAAACAGTTGATTGTGTATTTATTGGATATGTAACCAATAGCAAGGCATATTGTTTTCTGGTTCATAAATAAGAAAATCCTGAGATCCACGTTAATACAATAATAGAATCAGATAATGCTGAATTCTTTGAAACTATTTATCCATATAAAAAGGAAAGTGAATTGTCCTACCAAAAGTCGAAACGACCTCGGGAGGAAACAACAGATAGTATGCCTAATGAGGAAAATCCGAGAAGAAGTAAACGTCAAAGAACATCTACTTCATTCGGTCGAGATTTTCTGACTTTCATGCTAGAAAATGAGCCTCGAACCTTCAAGGAAGCAATGTCATCCTCAGAAGCACAATATTGGAAAGAGGATGTCAATAGTAAATAGAATCCATATTGAGCAACCACACATGAGAATTGGTTGATCTTCCTCCAGGTAACAAAACTTTGGGTTCTAAATGGGTTTTCAAGAAGAAAATGAAAGGCGATGGTACTATTGACAAATACAAGGCAAGACTTGTTGTCAAAGGATTTAAACAACAAGAAGGTCTTGACTATTTTGACGCATACTTGCCGGTAACAAGAATTACATCCAGTCGGATGCTAATAACGTTAGCCGCCTTGTATGGTCTTCAAATCCATCAAATGGATGTAAAAACAGCCTTCTTAAATGGTGATCTAGAGGAAGAAATTTACATGAACCAACCTGAAGGGTTTGTGGTTTCGGAAAAAGAAAAGAAGGTGTGTCGACTTGTTAAGTCCCTTTATTGACTAAAACAAGCACCCAAGCAATGACATGCAAAATTTGACCAAACAATATTGTCAAATGACTTTAAGATTAATGAATGTGATAAATGTGTTTACATTAAGAACGTTCCAAATCATATAGTCATTGTTTGATGATATGCTAATAATGAGATTGCCGACATTCAAGCTACTAAGCGTATTCTTGCTAGTAAGTTTGATATGAAAGACTTAGGAGTTGCCGATGTAATTCTAGAAATTAAAATCCAGAGGACTCCTCAGGGTCTGGCTTTGTCTCAATCACATTACGTGAAAATGGTACTTGAAAAATTCAAACACTTGGAATTTAGAAGTGCAAGAACTCCAATTGACTTAAACCATCATCTTGAAAAGAATAAAGGTGAAAGCACGTCTCAATTGGATTATGCCCGTGTGTTGGGAAGCTTAATGTATATCATGAACTGTACACGTCCTGATATAGCTTGTGCAATAAGTAAACTTAGTCGATTCACAAATAATCCCAACAAACATCACTGGGTGGCAATGAAACGAGTTATGGGATATTTGGAATATACCCAAGATTATGCTTTGCACTACAATAAATATCTGCGGTTATCTAAGGATATAGTGATGCAAATTGGATAACCGGCTCAACAGAAACAAAGTCCACAAGTGGATATGTGTTTTACTGTTGGCAGTGGAGCAGTATCTTGGAAGTCTTCCAAACAGACGTGCATCGCTCGCTCTACAATGAAATCAGAGTTTATAGCTTTGGATAAAGCCGGTGAAGAAGCTGAATGGCTTCGAAATTTCTTAGAAGACATTCCGTTCTGGCCAAAACCTTTGGCTCCTATATGCATACATTGCGATAGTGAGGCTGCAATAGGACGGGCAGGGAGCGTTATGTATAACGAAAAGTCTCGTCATATACGATGAAGACATAACACCGTTAGACAACTACTTTCTAGTGGAATTATCACTATTGATTATGTAAGATCAAAGGATAATATGGCGGATCCGCTTACAAAAGGCTTAACTAGAGAGGGAGTTGAGAAATCATCTAAGGGAATGGGACTATGGCCGAGGACAAGTCATCATGGCGGTAACTCTACCTAGAATCTTGGATATTCCGAGATCTAGGTTCAAGGAGCTCAAACAAAGTTGTGATTGACCGGTTCAACATTATCAAAGTAAAATTTTGGTTCCTTCTCGTGATGAAGACGATGTTTAGTAACAAGTATAGAACTTTACACGTTCTTTAATGATTACCTAAGTTTGATGTGGTGTCAATCTAAAGGATTACACGTTTAGGAATCACCTATGTAAGTGTGAAGTGGAAGCCGCTTCAAAGAGAATTATGTAAGGACAATTCTCTACGCACTTATGAAACCATGTGGTGTTCATGGATGAAACGAACACAACAATGAGAACCAAAAGATGGTTAAGGGTTGGTTGTGTGACATATGGTTGTCTAGGTATACACTAAAGTTCGACGGTTCAAAGATATCAAATCTACCGATTGACCGAGTATATCCGACATATGTTCACTACGGAAAATTCAAAGAAAAACCTACTTATCCAGATGCAATTAATCCTTACTTGCAAATCACACAGCTTTCATCTATGATCATTCTTGTTACAACCATTTCCATTCATGTGGGGGATTGTTGGACTTTAAGCATTGGGCTTTAAAGACTAAGAGTGTGAATTGGGAAATGGTGGGAAATAAAATAGAGGGAAATGAAAATTTGAATCAAGTGAGCTTTTGTCATGAACTTTGTACCACACTGGTGAAAGACAACTACACTTGTGTGTATAAATATAGGATCACTTCTTAGAGCTGTTAAAAGGAGTTGAAGAGAATGAACCCTCGCGCCGCCGTCGTCGCTCGCTTGGCTCGGCTTTGGATTTGTCAAATGATCGATCGATAAGATTATTTTTGGACAAAATTTATTTAATTAATTATTTAATAATTAATTAAATGCCAGTCAGTTCATTAACGTAATTAACTGGAATCCAAAAAAAAATGCTGCCTTTGCTGAACGTTGCTTTCCCTCCTGAACAGGCATCACGCTTCTTCCGATATTGCCTATAAATTCCGAGCCATGGCTTCTTTTTCCACTCACTGAAAACCGAGAATTTCCTTCTGAATACTGCATTCTACTTCGCAGTCTCTCTCTCTCTCTTTCACAAATTCGTAAGTGTGATTTTGCTCCGTTCTTTGAGTTCGTTGGTATCCTGCAGTTTGTATTGCCACTGTTGCTGGAAGGTTTATTCCGTTTCATCCTGGGAGGATTTAATCCATTACCTTGGCAATTTGTGAGGGGGTTAAAATTCCTTAAGGATACACAAGGAAATTGTGGACTCGGAATATTTCTTATCGTTTACAAATTTTCTATTTCTTCTAATAGTCTTATTATTTCTGTTTTAACACAGTATAGTCTACAATACATGGATGACGATTTTCGCTCTCCTCTCCATGAATAATGTACGTTAAGACTAACGTGCGCCGAGAGAGACTTCAGTCCTCGTGCCCTCGACGAGAATCACTTTTAAACCCATATACCGAATAGCCCCCTTAATCCCTATAACCAAACAACCCCTTGTCTTTATGAAATTTGTTCAAAAATCAAGAGTGTTTTTTGGAGGGAAAGTGTCGCGGGAAAAGACCAAAAGCGAGAAGAAAAAAAAAAAGAAAAAAAGAAAGAGGAAAAGATGGAAGGTAGTTTGGTAGTCAACGATAATTAAACCAATGTAGCGTAAAAAGACATTTGCAGGTCCAAAACGAATATGCAATCTCCACCGTTCACCACAAGATGCCATCTGCAAACCGATCATACACCGTTCAATTAAAAGTCCAGCGATAGAACAGTGGCTCTGTCACACTTATCCGACATGGCATTTAACCGGTTTTAAATCCGGAATTGGAGTCCGCAACGCATTTTAGTACACAAAACACAAAAAGTGCTCCCTACTGTGTGTGTGTGTGTGAAAGCGTTGAAACGAAGAGAGAGAAAAAGAAGAGAAACTCAGTTAATGAGAGTGTAACTCGGTGAGGTGAGCACTAAAATCCCCAATTAGAGCTCGCAAATCTCTGTAAGTACTCTTTAATTGTACATCAATTTTATGCATATTTCACAAAAAATCATGCTTTTGTTCTGTATTTGTACCTCGCTGTGTTTTATTTGTGTTAAGAGATTTAGTTTTTGCAGCTTAGGGTTTCGCAGATTTCATAAAAAAATTGGATCTTTATTCTTTTTTCTTTTACTTTTTCGCTTCAGTGTGCTAAAGACTTCGATGATATAATTTGCACTTAATCCTAGACAATGTTGCTTTGTGTTTTCTAGCTTAATATTAAGCTGCACTAGTTATGCCAATTGCTGCAAATTACGACAAAAATACTGCCAATTGCTGCAAAAACATTGCTTATATGTTTTGCCTTTTACAATTTTGCATTTTCGTATGCAGTTTTGTTCCTGCTACTTGCTAAAAGTTTTAATTTTTTCGAATTATAGAGTTGAATTTTAGTTATGGGAGAAGAGGAGACAGTTACTGAGGTAGCGGAGGCGCCTGCTAATGGAAATGTGGCAGTGGAAGATAAGGGTGACGCTATTACCAAGGACTCGAATGTGGAAAAGGATGGAAGCAAGGAAGTGCAAGCAGAGAGCAAAGAGACTGATAAAGACGATGCTGAAAAGATGGATATAGACAGAAAAGAGGCAAAAGAAACCAACGTTGAAGAAGAGGTGAAAGAAAGCAAAGAAGAAAAAGAGGCAGAAGAAAGAAAAGAAGAAAAAGAGGCAGAAAAAATAAAAGAAGAAGAGGAAGAGGTGAACAAAAGCAACAAAGCTGAAGAAGATGAGAAAGCTGACCAGGAAATTGAAGTGGAGGAAGAGGTGAACAAAAGCAGTAAAATTGAAGAAGAGAAAGCTGACCAGGAAATTGAAGTGGAGGAAGAGAAGCAGGAACCCAAGAGCGACACGATGGAAGAAGATACGGCTGAAGAGCCAGATAATAAGGATGATGAGGAGGTTGAAAAGAAGGAGGTAGGTGGAGAGAAAAAGGATAAAGAAAGCAATGAAGAGTGTAAGGATGAAGAAGGGTCTAAAAAGAGTGTTAAGTCGAAGGGGGAGAAAGACAAGAAAAGGAAACGAGAGGTTGTAAAGAAGAAGGAGAAGGAAATAGAGCCAAAAACTCCTGCACCCTCAACAATTGACCGTCCTGTACGTGAACGCAAATCTGTTGAAAGGCTTGTTGCATCTATTGACAGAGAATCCAACAAGGAATTCCGTATTGAAAAGGTATGTTATACTGTTAATGACATTTATTGTGTCTTCCTTTTTTGCTTATCCAGATTTTAGGCTCATGCTGCACGTTTATTGTTGGTTGTGAGATGAATTCATGTTTTCTGTGATCTGCAGGGTCGTGGGACTGCACTGAAAGATATTCCTAATGGTATTTTGCTTGCTAATTCCCTGGGTTTTAATTGGCTCTGAACAAGTTACTTGATGTTATTTCAGGCTTGCTTTCTTTTCTTTGTGCCCAGATTATCCTAATCTATTTCTTGGGATTTTCACATGTAGATGGTCTGTGAGAAAAACCTTATATGTAGTAAACTTTGATAATGGTCAATGATATTATCTTTTAATTCTAGTGTGATATGTCTATTGTAAAATCTTAGTTTGGTCCCTGACCTCACTGGATTTCACATAGCTGCAAATTAACATTGTCAGCGACTCAACATCTTTACTTTATTTTTTTTATTTTAACTTCAGTTGCATACAAATTATCCAAAAGGAAGACTGAAGAAACATTCAAATTGCTTCACACAATTCTCTTTGGAAGGCGTGGAAAGGTAACGTCCTGACTTAGTTCCTTTCTTTGTAAGATTTGTCTCTGAATTGTATTGTTTCTCTTACCCTTGGTCTTGCATTTAGTTTTTTTTTTGCATTTAGTTTTTTTCTTACCCTTGGTCTTCCTAGTGAAGAACTAGTTATATATGTACCTTTACTAGTTCTATTTAACTTTTATCTTATGAGTACATTAAAGAAAGCCTTATAAGTTTTTCAGCGTATATTTTGATTACTCTATTTTTCAAATATGTTAAACATGAGCTATTTTACCAATTTCATCTTTCTAACTTCCCATTTTTTCTCCTAAATCTATGCAATTATTAAACTTGTTCCTAACACTAAACCTTGCTATACACTAATATCTATTATTGTAGCTTTGCTATTTGTAAAAGAAACAAAATCGTACGAGTGACTAAAAGTAGAGGCTTCTTGGGTTTAAGCACCTCTCTCCTGTTGGCGGATATGCTCCAACCTCCTAGCTATCTCCATAACCTACTAAAAGTAGTCCCCGTCTCGATCTCTTGTGCCATACCATTACCATAATTAAGGCCTCGAAGAACCTTCTATGTCTCGGTAGGAATCAAGAAAGTTGCACGGCGAGACAACTTTAAAGATCTCATTTAGTACTGGGTGGCAATTATGCCATCCTAACGCAGTGCTCAAACTGTGCATGCAAATCATCTCTCTAGGCGAGTGAGATAAACTTCTCTAGAAAGAGATGTGAAAACTATCCCCAAGTGAGAGGTAGTAACATTGCTGGTCTACTCGCTTATATGTCTTCCATCACCTCTTGGCTGGTCCTTTAAACTAGAAGGTAGTGAAGTCAACTGTGTTGGACTTAATAGTGCCCAAAGTATGTACAATCTCATAACATATGTGTTAGGAGTCCTAGGCATTAGCTGTCGGATCATCGTCAAAATAGCGGGGAGACAACTTTTGGAACCTGTCCATCCTCTTTTGCTCCTTAACCGACATAACAATTCTTATCACTGGCTATGTTGCAACGAGCTTTGGGGCAACAATGTGTTGTGGTACCCCAATAGACTATACTCTTAGAGTTTGAAATATACGAGCATGTTGCTGCTATCGAGTGCGAGTTGCTGGGTTTCTGCTCTCCCCGGGTTTAGGGTTCATAGTTCAGGGTTCAGGCTTGAGAAGTAGCTTGGGCTATAGGAATCACCCTTGCTTGATCTATGCTCTTAAAGAAACCCATAATATGTGTCGAAGTCTCCAAGCACATGGGTAGCAATTATCCTTCAGAACTTGTGCTGGACTCAGCCAAACAACTTGAATTGGAACCTCCTCAACCTCAAGAGCTGTAGGTGGATCAAGTGAAGCGTGGATCAAGTGAAGCATTTCTAGCACGACCACAAGCAACTGTGGGCACTCCAGTTCGAGCAGATGCAACTATGTGAGCCTGGCTTGAGCTCCCGTCCTTTTTACCCTTGCCTTTAACTTCATAGCAACTTCAACCTCGGGCATTTGCTCCTGCTTACTAGCTACCTATGAACGTATCCTCACCATCTGTGGTAGAATAAAACGGAAATGATTCAAACTTTAAGTTGAAACAAAATTGTACGACAAGGGAAAGAAAGAGAAGTTTCTTAAATGCTTTGTAGCCTCTCAGAGATAAATTCAAACGTCTTAGTACCGATCAACATACTAGATATTGCGAATGACTCACAAGACCTGTGACCTTGCTTTGACACCACTTTGTCATGATCTAAATTCTACCTTAGTCGTGATGGCACATAATCCAACACGTTAGGCGAACCCACAAGCGCTAACAATATTAAGCAAATACCAAAGGACAATAATAAGTCCAAAACAAAGATAATAATAACAAATTATAGTTATGAAACATCAAACAATGCGGAACAAACCAACATCTAATCCTAGGAATTGGTGGTACTAGTCATGAGTAGTTGAGAGTAACAAAATACAATTGTCTGAATCAAAAACAGTAGATAAAGGATATAATAGAAGAGGTGACTCCTAGGCACTACAAGAGTAGCTCTAGCTTGAATCTCCAAGTCAACTCCTAAGCTTCCTCTTCGGTCGCGTTGATGACATGGTCAATATCAACATAAAAATGTGTAGAAGTGTAATTTGAGTGAAACAACACGTACTCAGTAAGTGTCATTGACTGTCTCCAACAAAGTGGTGGCTAGGGTTATTTTCAAAGATACTTACTTTCATACACTTGCGCAGTTCATATACATAACAATCCTAAAAAAGAAAGTAGAAAAACATCATAATAGGATATGCTCAGTCAAGCAGACATTATGAGGCATGCTTTCACTCTAGCAAGTCCAATACATATGTAGAATGCATCTAATCACATATATATGTGATATGGGGTTTGCTCCCTTTCAAGGTCTCAAGTTCGAGCCTTGGGGTTTGCTCCCTTTCACAGTCTCAAGTTTGAAACCCATTGGGTGCAAACAATTTCTGAGGGTCATCGGACTGGGTAAAACCTGAATTAACCGTGGTGCACTTGCGAGAAACTCCTTGCCGAGGGCCTGTGCACCCCCGGGATTAGTCGGGGCTCTTAGAGACTCGGACACTCGGTGCAAATAAAAAAAAATGTGATATGCACAAATTTACCATACAAGAATGCATTATCAGTTGCAAAGGACCGGTAAAATAGAATAAAGCTTCTACCTTTATGCTCACCTCAACCAATATCATGCGCCCCCAAAGAAGAAACATGGTTGGACAACTTATGAGGGTCCATATTCACACGCAACAGTAATGCAAGTCCTTTACACCCTACAGGAACATGGAGTCACATGTCATAACTGATACCTCAACATGAACGTGAATCCACACATCCTAATTGCTTGACGACTCCCATAAGCAGTCTCAAATGGATAATGAGAACAATACACACTAACAAGGTGCATATATAAATTGTGTTGGACTAAACACTTCAATCATGTTAAAAAAGTATATGAAGTCTATAATGTTAAACTAGTATATGAATGGTGCCTATAACATTATACTTGCATGAATAAAATGCTCAAGTAGTCATACAACAAGTAAAGCACATGGATCTTATCATTTACCCAATCATGGAAATACATGGCATCACATATACGCTTGTTAACTTGTATATACATTATCCCAAACGCTTAGCACATAACAAATAAGACAATTTGGGAAAAATTTCCTCATTAAGGTCAAAGTTTTAACTTATCTCGATCCAAGCAAGTCTCTACTCCTGAAGAACACCTCTGCCTCGGTCCAAATCCACTGAATGTCCTCAATCTAGTTAGAAGAGTGTTCAAGGATGCCAACCAAAGCTATTGGGCTCATTAAATCAATCAAAATCTAAGGTTAGGTCAAACACCAAACTTACAATCAAACTCAAGCCTGCACGGTCAAACTTGAAACCAAAGTCAATCCCCTTGACCCATAACCTAATGAGTCCAAATCTAATCTTAGATTTTCATTCTAAGTTCATTTAGGCATTTAATTCATTATTTATGTTATTCTACACTTTCTTCAAAATTTCACTTCATTTCACCTTAAGATCATGTTTTAAAGACAAAATTATGAAATATTCATGATATAATCATATATTTAACTTAGTATCACTTACTTCAATGTTGTAGATGTAGATCTAGCTCAAAACCCCTCAAATTTGAGCTTCTAAGATCCAAAATTGGTGAATGGACCAAAATATGAAGCAAAGCTATTTATACAAAAGAACAAAAACTACACAGGCATAAGGGCAAGCACCCTCTGCATTTCCAAACGCTCTTGGCACCAGGAGTGGTGGCTTGCTCGCTATTGGTGCAGTTTTTTTCCTGATTGGGCCCCTCGAGATCTAACCACCCATACATGCAAGTTCCAAAACATCATACAAACCTGCTAGAAGTTTCTAAAGAAGCAATAGGGTACTAAAACTCAAAACAACGAATTGGATCGTTACATGAATATTCCTTGTGAGTAGATAGTGTAAAAAAATATCTATCAACCAACATCTGTGACAGTGAATCTTTATTGGTCTTATGAAACCTAAGTTGCTCGTACTTATGCGGGTGTCCGATACGGGTGTGAACCTAGAAGTTGCATTCTTCCTGATCTAAATATTAAGATTAGGGGGTACAAAGACATGTATGGGTACATGTGAGGCTAAAAATAATTCAAATATCGAAAATAGAGTTATAAAAATATACCTAAATTATGGGCCATATCAGTACTATAAGAAGTAACTTTTGCACAACTATCTTTCATCTACATTAAATTAATTTTTATAATTTTGGATAAATCTATAGAAATAGAACTCTTGAAGACTTGGTAAACATGTCAAGCTTTCGCTAAATCCATTTTATTACTCGTGCACTTACCCCAATTCCCATCATCGATTGGTCTTCTTCCCCAAGCCCTTTTTTGAAGCTCTCTGGTTCTCTGACTCAAAAAAATGAAAAAGGAGCAAGAACTGTAGAATCACTCAAGGCCTTCGCCAATAGCGGCATATCCGTGTCAAATCTACCCTAATTTTTGTTTTGATTTAAAAAATCAAAGCGCATCAACTCTAGAATTTCCTTGTAGCTTTTAGTTGGTCAAAGTACCCAAATCGATTGACCAGATGCAATATGGATTCCACACCTACACTAGTGTTGATGTCATGTCGACACGGGTGGGTACCGAAAGTGAAAAGTGTGAGCAACTTAGAGCTCGTTTGGACATAATTTTTTTTCCTTTTTTTCAAAAAAAATACACATTTTTTCGAAATCAACGTTCGTTCATAAAATTTTCAATTTTCACTTGAAGATGCATTTTGGAAATTTCCGAAAATTTGAAAAACTCCAAAAAGATGTTTTTCAAAATTCACTCAAATCACTCACAAAACCTCAAAAACAACCCAAACTTAAATTTATGTCCAGACACAACTCCAAATTTCAAATACTATTTTCACTTGAAATTTTTTTCACCATTTTTTTGGAATTTTATAATTCTTATGTCCAAACGCCTACTTAGATATAATCTTGTCTGTGACATTTTACTTACTGGATAAGAAAAACTTAAAAGAAGCTTTACATTTTGTTGGAACTGTGGTATGTCGTTTTGACGTTGAGTGCAGTGCAAAACTTGAGTTTCTCATGTTAATGATGATGCTATATCTCATCCAAAGGGGGAGAACCATGAGATCTCAGTTCAAATTTCTGTGGAAGCAAAAAACACTAGGCTATTTCTTTCCTTTTGTCTAAGCCTTGGTGGATAGAGTAATTCTATATATGTTGGTGTGAGATAGCACGTACCCGGTGTAATTAGTCAAGGCGTGAGCAAGTTGGCCCGGACACCACTATCATATAAAAATGATGAGGCTATATCCTTCTAAAAGTAGGAAGTATAATTCCTGTAGGGAACTTTGAAGTCTGCTCTTTTGTGATTCACTTATATCATGTGATAGTCTAAATGGATTGGTTTTACTTGATGTTAATTGTTCTGAAAAAAAGTCATTGTTCTTCTTCTCCTATATTTTACCCTTGAAAGGAAGATAGAATATGCATATATAATCACTGAGAAGAAGTTACAATTATTTCACCATTTATCTTGAAGAAATCACTTACACCATTTTACGTAAGAACAAATCTTGTTGTACTTTATTATGCATTTTGGATTTCGTCTGATCATCATTGTTAGTCTACTTTTTTCGCAACTTAGAAGCAATGTGAAAAGTGAAGTGGTGCAAGGAATTTTGAGATCATTTGCAGCTTAGTCTGTGAACAAGTTTGTATTTCTTAGAAAAGAAATGGTTTGTTCATTTTTTTCCTAGTTTCTAAGGAGTCACATCATGCCACGTAAGTGCCACTTGATTTCTTCTATTTAGATAACAATATAAGGTACTTTTTTTTTTCTTGCCAGCATGCAGTTAAAGCTTTATTCTCAAGAAGAGATATATTCCTTGTTTGAAAAAAGATCTGTGAGTAATTATTACCAGAGTATGCTTGTCTACATTGGATTCTAAAGTTTGGGGGATTGCTCTACCATTTTCTTATACTCGTGAATTTCCCCCTTTTTTTGTCTGGCAATGATGATGATTTGAAGCACTTAGCGTGATTCTTCTACTGATAACTTGATTAGGACTATCTGCATGTTACTAGATCCCTACTTATGGAACTAGTCAGCCAGCTCACATCCGCTAGAGTGCTATTCAATTATGATCTTGTCTTTGCTAGTTTCAACATTTTATTCGTTTTGCTTATAGTTCTTGTCCTTTGCAGGCAGCTCAGATCAAGAGCAATATTTCACGATTTTCTGGCTTTGTGTGGCATGAAAATGAGGTATTGACATCCATGTTTCAAAGTGAGGCCTATATGAGTAAATGACTATCCCATTGCCTCTCCATCCCTGGGATGGTGGTCTGGGAAACTTGCATAAACCTCTCTTTGCTTGCTCATACTGATTGTTTATGTATCTCAGTCATTATCTTATCATTATGCTTTTAAAAATGCTAAACGTTAGATCATTGTATATTGCAGGAAAAGCAAAAGATGAAAGTAAAAGAAAAGCTTGACAAGTATGTAAAAGAGAAGCTGTTGGAATTCTGTGATGTACTAGATATACCTGTTTCCAAAGCTACATCAAGAAAGGTGAGTTCGTGTCGAAGTGTGTTTTTTGGAACTGCCATTTTGTAGCTGCATGTTAGACCTTTTTATTTCACATAGATAGTTTAATTCGTCACATGCAATTTGCCTTACCAGTGAATTACATATCAAAACGGGAAAAAATTATCTTACTGAGTGAAGGCCAAATAGGTAGTTGATAATTTGCTTTTGAAAATCGACTCGCCTATTTCATAATATGAAGATTGCATCTTGTAGTCTTTCTCGCAAGTGTTTTAACTAATTAGGAGTTTTATATGCATCAGGAAGACATAGTGACAAAGTTGTTGGACTTTTTGGAAGCTCCTCATGCTATGACTTCTGAGTTACTTGCTGAGAAGGAACAGGTTGGTGACTTCTGGTTGTTGTAAAAGCATATGTGACTTGTTCTGTTTGTTTATAGTGTGCTGACACTTCTCTGGTCAAATGAACAGTCAAGTAAAGGAAAAAAGCGTAAAAGAGAGAGCAAAAAAAGTCCTTCCTCGACATCTGTTAGCTCGAAAGGTTCAACCAAGGTATTTCTCTTTCTTATTAACATTAATTGAGATTTAGTAGTGCAAGACCAACTAAGAGATAACTTTTTGCTTGCAACTGGCAACTTGTATCTGTGGACTTTATTATTTGGTTTCATGACGCAATTTCTATATTTCCGTTTCTGCCTCAGAAAATTTTCCATTGGCTCTTTAAAGAGCTGCTTGAATCAGATCTGGAGATATTTTAGTGTTAATAAATAGTTCATTATCAAAAAAAATATTTGGTTTTAGTTTTACTTGTTCTCACCTTTTATTCTCAACTTGAGTTTTTGCATCCACATCCTATGATCTAAGAGGTTTTATATGCCATATGACTTAACAGTGTAGTAGTTGCCAAATTGTTTGCAAAGTTTTCCTGGTGTTTTAAAGTGACTTTTTCTGGGGATTTTCCAGAGTTATAATCTGATTGGAATCAGTTAAAGCCATCGCTTTGTTGCTTAAAGCGATGCAAAGCGATGAGTTATTGCTTCTCAAGTGAAGCCATGCACTTCAGAGAAGTGTGTGCTTCGAATGATGCGCTCTAAATGATCCCAAACCTAAACAGTCTGTTATTTGAATCTCAACTTTGAGGAGTAGGATTGTTGAATGCTGAAATTAGTCTTTTTTCTTTTCTAAAATGCAATTTGATAATTATAGTACTATATTCGTAAATGTGGTATTTTTAACTTCATAAATTTTGTGCTTCACTTCTGGCTTTTCGCCTCAAGCCCCATGGACCCATTCACCTTTTTTTGCGTTTTTCGCTTTCAGAAACACCGATTTGTATAGAGGATCTTTTTTCCGAATTAAAAAAGAAGAGAGAAAGTTATCAAACAATTAGCTAAAATTTTGCTGTCTGGATTGATGCTACATATACTTTATTTACAGAGTGGAAAGAAAACTGAAACTGCATCTCAAAAGGCTGAGAAGAAGAAGACTGTGCATGAGTCAGAAGATGAATCTGAGCAAGAAGATGACCACGAGGAGGAATCTGAAGAGGAAAAGGCTAATGGTGTTCCTGAGAAATCTGATGATGAGATGTCAGAGCAAGCTGAAAGTGAGAAGGAGAGTGAATCTGAAAATGAGTCCGAGGAGGACAGACAAAAGCATAAGCAAAGTTCAAATAAATCTTCAACAAAGAAAGAACCTGCCGGGAAAGCTAAGACCAAGAAACCTGCAGTCGCTAAACTGCCTAGTCCTGCTCCCAAAAAGACCCCTTCAAAATCACCAAAGAGCTCAAAGCACAATGCTAGTACTGATGCAAGTCCTAAAGTGGTGTCTGCAAAGAAGAAAAAAGCTGAAGTAGTTAAAGAAAAATCTTCAATACCAAAGAAGTCTATTTCCAAGGAAAATACTGGTGAGAATCTTTTATGGACTGTTATGAGGTGTTCAAGGATGGTTGGTTTTGTCATGATGATTATCAAAGGTATTTTTTAACGTGCTTTTCTGCTTTGCGAGCTTTTCTATTTGTGCAGGGAAAAAGATTGTAAAGGGAAAAGACAAGAGCAAAGAAGATAAATTGAGACCAAGTGATGATGAACTCAGAAATGCAATTTGTGAAATTCTTAAAGAAGTTGACTTCAACACGGTGAGCATTGAACCGTAACTAGATTGTGTGTTCCTGCTGTGACAATAAATGTTGTAGTACTTTCTGCGGGTTCATGGTCATTTGGACATATATTCTTCTCTGTAGCCCTTTTGCAATGATGCAGAAGTTATTCATGGTTACTCTTGGCCTGTAATGGAACACAAGGGAAAGATCATTCTTTTTCCCGGAAAGTATTTACTTAATTAGAAGCTTGCATAATGCTCTTCATCCGCCCATTCCTCAGTGAAGCTCTTAGGCCATTGCATATTTTGAGTGATAATATTTCCAGAGTGGTACTTTACATTCCAAATTTTGCATTTCCTGAATTGCTAACAGCGCTTTTGTTTGTGCTTGCAGGCCACCTTCACTGACATTCTGAAGCAACTTGGTAAGTGTGTATTTCTCTTTTGGCAGTTTTTTGGGTAAACAAAGATAAAAAAGACGCTAGGTTTTGTTGATTATTGTCTGGTAGTTAAGTTATACTTTGAGAAACATGATACTCCATGAGGTCATAGTAGCAAGATATTAGGATGCCAAAAGAGCAATCACCTTGTTTCTAACCAATGCATGACAATTTTTTTTTCTGCAGCCAAGAGGTTTGATACAGATCTCACACCCAGAAAATCATCTATAAAGATTATGATCCAAGACGAGCTGACTAAACTAGCTGATGAGGAAGATGACGAGGAAGAGGAAGGCGATGCTGAGAAGGATGTAAAAAAGCCTTCTGGCAAAGGTGTGAAGGCCTGAAAACATGGGTAGAATGCAATCACTGGAAAGGTACCCTACACTGTCGGTATCAATATCCAACCTTTCTCTTCCTCGTGAATTTGTGCCTTATGAGTTCAACCAGCTGTAATCTATTCTTAATGTCTCGTTTTTTCAATTAACTCTTTGAGTAGGATATTGTAGAGCTATAAGCACCTAAGCCTAGTGCCAGATTACTGCTTGTATAAACACATTTGTAGTTTTAATTTTAATTTTTCTGTTAACTTAATCGGCCGTCCTGATCATGTACTATAAATCTACAAGTATAAATTGTTAGAATCAACATGCATTTGGGTCTACTTGGGGCTGTTTTCATTTCCATTTTTTATGGTGAGTAATTTTCCCTTTTCTTTTTGGTTGCTTAATGACTTGTTTCTCTGCCTGTTAAATTGTGCTCCTATCAAGGAAGCCTGGAATCTTTTAGAAACTTGCTATATCTTGCCTAAGGCCTAACTAGTGTTTGAACAATCTATGTTAGTAGATCAGCTATTGGCTAGTGGCCAATTGGATGGTGATGTTTGCCCATGCCTGGGCGTTTGGATTTAGGAATTGAAAATGTTTAAAGTGAGGTGGCAAAGGAATCATCCCACGTAGAGAATAATTAAGATTTAAACTTCAGAACGGAAGGCCTGTCAAGTGAGACCATGTTGTACCACTTACTGGTGGAACACCCACTAAACAAGAAAGTACATCACTCTATTGCGTCTTATTGTTTGATGATAGCACTGTGATTTGTTGAGTTCCAAACTAGTGATGAGTGCCCCGTTTCTTTTGCACTCTGCTTTTTTCAGTAATACCATGTCATTGGTGTTCTTTAGCTTCCAGTCATTTTATAGTCTCATCTTTGTATCACCAGTTAAAATGAAGACAAAGAACCAAGGACTTTATTGCTCGAATGGTTTTGTCATAATATACTCACACGGACTTATTTTCAGTTCATTTGTATCTGTGAGTTCTACAAAATAACAACATACCTAGTATTATCCCACACCATGGGGTCTGGGAGGGTAGTGTGTACGCAGATCTTACCCCTACCTTGTGAGGATAGAGAGGCTGTGTCCAATGTATCCGTGAGTTCTACATGAATGAATATTGTTTGCGACCTTTTAACTTAATTGCATAAACAAGACTTTGTTAGATAATCAGTATGGAAAACATATTCAATTCTATTAATCCTATATCAAACTACTTAAGTGAGGTTTTGTAGCTTGGATGCGATGTATCAACTTCTCAACTCCCCTGGTTGCTGCTTAAAATCAGATGTCACGTAAAAAATTACTAACACGTTATGACACAAATATGTTATGTTAGCTATACAACCTTTTGGTGAACTAAAAATAACACATTTGAGATAATTGTGGATTGTTTCCTTATCTTTAAATTGTAAGTGGACATTGGAGATCACTTCACCTATTTACATGTTTGATAGAGCTTTTAGGTTTGACACAGGAGAAATGTAAATCTTTTGTTACACAATCAAGTTACTGACAGAAACTATGATGTAGACATTTATAATCCGTCTGCTACCATGTTTACACCAAATTGGAAAATGTACACACATATTTACCAATTTACATATTTGTAGAACAAAAGTAAGTATGATCATAGGCTTCAATAGTTGTAGCCTGTAGTGCTACCTTGGCCTCCCAACATCAGGAAATCGAGACCCTGTATTACCAATCCCTGCATCATTTCGAGCCGTCTGATTGTATACTCCGGTACCGTACGCGTGTCCTTGATGATGCTGACCCATCATCATCATGCCATAGTCCTCAACATAACTACTACCCATATTCACTGATCCACTATTCTCTTTGTCTTGTATTCCAGCCATGGTGCTCTTTTGCCCTTCTAAGTCTCTGAACCTCTGCAGATAAATCTTAAGGGGCTCAATGTATTCTTCAAAACCAAGTGTTGTCATTGCCCACAACAAATCATCACCGTTGATGGTCTTCCTCTTCTCACGCTGACACTTATCTGATGCTTCCCCAGTAATGAAACTGATGAATTCAGAAACACATTCTTGAACTATCTCTTTAGCGTCCTTTGATATTTTCGCGTTTGCTGGTAGAGCTTTCTTCATGATTCTGCTCACATTTGCTATTGGAAGGAACCTGTCTTGCTCTCTTAGTGAACTTTCGCTCTCTCTCTGCCCTCCTGATTCATTGTCCGAATCTGCCATGTGAATTGCTTATGCTATATATGTTGTTTTCTTAGGCTTCTAGATCAGTATAAAAAGTATCTGTAAAAGTGAACAAAAAGGAAACAGAGCAAAATATGTTGTTGAACTTAGTCAAAGACTCAAACTTTATTAATCCGTTTCTATCATTCTTGATCAAATGGGATTCTTTTCCCCTAAAATACAAAAAACAAGAGCTCTAATGGTGTCCTTCGTAGAGAACTGAGATCGAATTCTGAACTGCTGACACAATAGCTTCAGAACAAGAAAATGGAGAAAAGATTTTTGGAGAGGCAGAGTAGAGAGTGAGGGGACAGAGTTCTAACTTCTGAAGATAAGGATAAGATTGGATATAATGAGGTTCGTTGGATGAAATAATAGTTAATTACGGTATGAGTGCGAGTACGTGGAAGCATATGATTGGTCTTTGTTTTGCCGAAAGATCTGAGACGTCTGTGTCGTATGTGGGGCATGGTCGGTTAGGATAGGGTATTTTTAATGGACAATGGAGATATTATCATTGCTTACGTGGATCATTAGCCTTTTTCTTTTCGTTGTTATAATAATCATAATCATAAACATATTATACTCAAGCTCCTACCTGTCATATGTTGGCAATTCAATAGCGAGTCATATTTCTTCCTCTACTGATTATGGGTGTAATAAAACTAGTTATATCAGGATATTTATTTCATTTTTTAGGTTACTAGCCTATGTATTATCACTTATGGATAATTACTTGTAATACATTTTAAATAATTTGATGATGAGAAAAAAAATTACGCTGTTAAGGAATATAGTTGAACTCCTGACTATTTGTTGAAAAATAAGTTACCAAGATAAGGAGAAGATAAAAGGAAGCGCAATATTTTTGGGAAACAGTGACAGTCTGAGAGCTCTTATGCATGAATTTAATTAGTGTAAATGTAAAAGGATCTATCATAAGAGAAAATCATTTTTCAAAAAACTTATCTGGAAAAACATTTCCAAGAGGCATTGGAAGAAGAAATATAAGAATTTAAAGCATAGACAAAATGTACACAATTATTTGTGAGGAGTAAAGGATTTGTAGGGATACGTACGTAGGGGTAATTTTAAAAAAATAAATTAAATCTTTTCTTGATATATAAATAAACACTTATTTTGGACCGAAATAAAAAGGCAAATTGATTATCTATTGTGGACCGGAGGGAGTAAATGCCTAGCACAGTGCTTATCCGCTGCGCATGTGAAACAATGTTTTGCCAATTTAAACAGACAGATGGGAAACCGCAAAACGCAAGTAGATAGTAAAAAGATACTAAAGAGATCACGTAAAATGACTGAAACCATGACTATGTCATAGCTAGTATTTCATATACACTTTCACAAGCCTATAAAAGGAAATTTTTATGTACACTTGTAACAGAAGAAGAGCTCTAAACATCATATGGCCAACAAAAAAGCTGGGTTAAAAAAAAAAGACCAAGCCTATAAAAAGAACATTCTATGTACACTTGCAAAAGAAGAATGAGCTCTAAACATCATATGCCCAACAAAAAAACTGGGTCAAAAAGAAAACAAAGATGATACAAGAAGAAAAATGATTAGTACAACAAACGCCCGAGCAAGAAGGGTGCCGATCAGCGCCAACCTGTGTCAAAACATCCTAACACATTACATCAAAAAGCAAATTTCTAGGATAATCTGTCACTCGACTTACAGAAAATTGAAGTCTGAAGTCACCAAATGTTGGATTATTCAAGTCACATTCAACTAAAACATACATGAAAAAGAGGCTAAAAACTGAGACATAATGTTCTATTAGCAATTCAATCTTCACTAAGAGGTAAAGCCATGCAATATAACATGCTCTCTCAGACAGCTTCAAGGCATTTTGAAGATATACCATACTTCTTCCAACAGCTTGCTCTATCTCCTCCAGGCTATCATCACAAGAAACCAAAGAACAACATCTGCAATCAACAACTTGGAGAAATAAATAATCATGACTGAAACTACAAGCAGTATCATGTGATAAAGATCAAACTTCAAAGTCTAAATCACACAAATTCTACTAAAACCATTAAAGATCTTCAGCTTAAATTGGAAATGCATCACTTTCTATTTAGTATCTCTACCTAGTGAAAAACCCATCGAACTTAGGACTGGACTAGCTAGTGTCAACCAGAATCCGAGAGAAATGCTAACTATAGCCTTTCACAGCGAAGGAGTGAGTGGCAGTCCAACGCTAGGCATCCCAATATCCCAAAACAGAGTAAATGTAAAATCTAATAGGGTTCTTTCTGAATAACTAATAAGACAAGACATGAACTTTGACAAAGTCTGGGGTGCCCCGAAGGCCAATATATTTTCCAAGTTCCCAAAATCCAATAGCTAGACATATCAGGTTGAAAGCTATCACATAACAAGGGTGGAAAGACAGAGAGGTTTAGAAAAGATATATATATTTCTGTTTACTTATGGAATTGAATGAACAACTTAACACATTCCCTAAGAAACATCCACTTTCCTATGAAATTAGATTCTAAATACAACAACAACAACAACCCAGTATTAATCCCATCCACATGTGGGGTCTGGGGAGGGCAGTGTGTATGCAAATCTTACCTCTACCCTGGGGGGTAGTGAAGCAAAATTAGATTCTAAATAATGTTAATATAATCTTTAAAACTGGTTTTAGCCCATAGATTTTTTTATTTATTCCCCTCCCCTTTGATTCACCTTTAATCCCCTATGTTGGAGCTATTGCTCCTTTGGTGACTCGAACCCACGACCCTGGGGTTATAGGTTT